TAGAGCAAGGGGGCTGAAGCCAGGACTCCTGGGTTCTATTCCCAACACTCTGTATGACCTTGGGATAAGTCCCTGTGTGTTCAAGGGGGCCACATGGACTCCCTCGGGGATCTTGTACTGGGCATTGGTGTTTGCTGAAATTTGTGTCTGTCTCTCCAGGAGCTGGAGCCACAGGCAGCCAAGATGGAGCCAGCAAAGTGAGTATTGAACGTCGCCCCCGCCCCACCCCCGCCCTGCAGCCTCCAGCCTAGAAGCATGTGCCATTTAAGCTGCGTGTAAGAGACACGCTCACTGTCCGGCTCTGCTCAGCGCGAGCCAGGCCTTAGCCGGGGGGGTGTCCAGTCTGGGCCCTGCACTGCAAGGAAGAGGTGGACAAACTGGAGAGAATTTGGAGGGGAGTATCAACAGGATGTGCGCGGCAGAAAGCTGCCCCGAAGGGCATGTTTAGCTGAGGGAAGAGAAGGCTGAGGGGACCTGGTAAGAGTTTCAATATGTGACTGGTTATTACAATGAAGTAGGGATGTTAAATTGCAGGTAATTGACTAATCGAATAGTCTATGCATTTTGCTTTGACCAGCCAATAAGCCGTCTCTGCCTTTGAAGTATAGAAACAGCCCTAGGGCTGTTGCTACACTTTAAAGGTGAACGCGCCACGTGAAGCCCAGGGTCAGCTGGGGACTCCCCGCTGACCCCGGGCTCCATGCAGTGCTGCCGCTTTCAAACGTCACCACAGGAGCCCAGTATCAGGCTCCTTTTAAGCTGGCTCCCCATGAGTACCAGATCCACCTGCTCCCTCGCCCCTGCACTGCTGCCTCTGTTAGAAAGGCAGCAGCGTGGAGGGTGAGGGGGGCAGGCAGGAGCTGGTTTGCGCGAGGAGCCAGCTTTCAAGCTGGCTCTCTGCACATGCCAGATCCTGCACCCACCTGCTCCCCCTTGCTGCCTCCTACAGAGGTAGGGAAGGCAGGCAGGAGCCAGGTGCAGGTGCAGGTGCCTCTATTTAAAGTGTATTAAAAGCCTGGTGGGCAGGCTGCCTGGATCATTTCCGGCTTGTGCCGGGTCTGGGAGCTCAGGCCCCCCTGCCCTGGACAGGGGCTGCTGCTGCCCCATGCTGCTGTCTCTGTATCAGAGGCTGCAGCACAGGGCGGGAGGCAGCCGGGCTGCGTAGGAAGCTGGTTTTTAAACTGGCTCCCCTTGCAGACCAGCTCCTGTCACCCCTCTGATAGGCAGCAGCGTGGGGAGGAGGGGGGCTTGCTGGAAGTGAGACCAGAGCGCACTGGCTGCTCTGGCCCCTGGGGACTATTGAATCACCATGCAACTGCTAAAACGTCATGCGGTACACAACGATTCCATTGCATGCCATCTAACAGCCCAGCTTCCAGCTCGAGCACAGCAAGCTCTGCCCCCCCTCCTCCCGCATCTGCCTCCTGCGACCACAGAGAACTGCCAGGGTGCAGCACACCCTGAGCTCATCTCTGATCCACCTTCCATGGCCTCGGGGCAGAGAACAGCCAGCGCACCGCATGCTCTGGCCACAACCCCACTGCTGAAAACAGGACAAGTGTGGTACCCAATGCCAGCTCTTCCTCCGCTATGGGGGGCAGGGGAACCCCAGGGGCCAGTCTCTATCCCTCAGTGTACAAAGGGGCCGTTCTGCTCCAGAGAATCTGGCCCCAGAAGAGCGAGGGGCACTGCACTTGACTAGATGGGGATGGGGTATTCTAAGAGGACCCTGCATCCATGGAGCGGCTCTACTGGGGGAGGATCTGTAGTGGTTGGTCCCTGGTCTGTGGGGAGGTGGGGGGGTGGGAGGGATGCAGCTGAAAGATCCATTGGGGAGCCAGGCCAGCAGATGGAGCCCAGTCCTAGCTCCAGTCTCTCCAGCCAGGTTCACGTCTCTGGTATGACAAGACCTCTGGGGCGCAGATTCCCCACTACCAGTGCTCTCTGTGACCCCAGGTTGCCCAGAGACCATGGTGCACAGCAGGCAGATGGAGCAGGTGCAGGGGCCAAGTCTGGCCCTGCTGGGCAGCAGGATCTGCAGCTGACCTGGGAAGAGCTGGAGTTGCTGAAGGAGAAGTTTAGCAGGTGAGGGATCCTAAAGCCTGGCCTTGGGGTGGGGGGCTCTTCGCAGCCACACCTCCAGGAGGTGGAGTCTATTACAGCCCTAACCCCTTGCAGGTTGAGTTGGCTCTCGCAGCCATGCCCAGCAGGGGGTGGAGTCTAGTACAGCCTTTCTCCCCTTGGGGGTGGAGCTTGTCCTCAGTTTCACTCACTTGGAGGTTGAGTCTGGCATAGCCCCATCCTCTTTGGAGGCATCAAGGCTATTCTCACAACCCTACCTCCTGGAAGACAGGATGCTCCCCCATATGCACAACTAACTTGTGGACTCCCTGCTGCAGGAACAAAGAGTCTAGAGCTCTGGTTGGTGGGGTTGGCTTTCCAATTTGCCATTGTACAACTCCGAGTCCCTCCCCCACTTCTCAACCCCCTGGGCCTTTCTGGACATCGTCCCATAGGTGTGGCTTATCTCCCCCTTGGCCTCCTCTGCTCTGCCAGCAACACAGGTGCCTATAAGAGACCGGCCCCCATTAACAATAATCATGTCTGCACTGAGAGAAGGTAGAGGTTGGGAATGTATCCCACTACCTCCACCAAATCACACACTGAGTCACATGGCTTCATGGTCTATATGCTCCACTGTTGGGCACTCAGCAAAACAGCGTCCTGACATTGCTCTCACAAGCTAAGCAGAATTATATTTGGTTAGTATTGGGATGGGAAACCACCTAAGAAAATCCACAGTCCTGCAGAGAGTGGGGTGGGGACTCAGTAGGTGATGCTTTCCCTTCACAACCATCCTCAGCACAGTGTCCCCCAAAGAGGGCTGCATCTTGGTGCTGGTCAAAAGATTACTATATAAACAGCTCCCATGCCCCACCCCAGAGGTGGCTGCATCTTAACACTGGATGTGGGATCCCTGTATAAACAATCCCCACATCCCATGTCAGCATCCCACGTCTAAAGGGAGGTTTTCAAGACAGTTTCATTCTCTTGGCTGTTTCCTTCTAGGCTGCAGGAGGACTATTCCAACACCCAACGCACGAACCAGCTACTGGAGGAGAAACTTCACCTCATTGTAAGGGCAGCTTCATTGTTGGGAGAGGGAAGCCCTGGATATGGGCTGACAGACCCCTCATTGAAAAGGAGCAACCCCATGATCAGATCCACGTGCCTGCAGACTCAGCTGCCCAGACAGGGAACAGCCCACTGCCTCATTCAATGTAGGCTCTTATACTGGACGTAAGCCGCACTGTCCATATATTGAGTGCACCGTGTAGCAACGCTTGTGAGGGGCCTGATTCTTCCACCCCACAAGCTCCCCCATCGTTCCGATGAGACATGATACCAAGTCTTGCCCCTCAATGGAGCACACAGCTTCCCTGACAATTGGCACCTAAGTCCAGATATTAACCAGGGTACCACAGCCAATGGTCCCTCTAATCTTTTCAATCATGTGTGGATTTTTTCCATCCATGTGCGGACTAAATGTTGTATATGCACCAAGAACTGTGCAGAAACATAAACCTAGCTGTGGGTGCTCTGCTAAACAGCTGGGCAGCATTTGAATCTCTCCTGAGTGGCGCCCAGCTGACAGGAAACACCCATCCCAGCCAATTCCCAAAGCCTAAATTGCTCCCTGCCTGGTGGTTTCAGTCAGACACAGGTTCACCCTGCATGTCCTATCTCCAAATGCTGTCCAAGATTGTTGTGCAGATGTTAAACGGCCCCCCTGTCCCACCCCAGACATGTCTACATCTCAGCGCTGGGGCACCAGGAGCCCCGGCCCCGCCTGCCCTCCTCCATTCTTCCTCTGAGCCTCTCATCTTGCTGTCTCCCTCCCCACTGCAGGTTCAGAGCATGGCAGCTGAGAGACAGACCCTGAACCAGCGCATCACCGAGCTGCTCGAGAGGCTCATTAGTGCCCAGAACACCATCTGCACACTGGAGAGACTCAACGTGAGCTTGGGGTGGGGGAGGCGGGAGGCTATGGTGGGGCAGCCAGAGGTGGGGCTGGGAAGGAGTGGGGGATGCTTCCAGCTGTGCAGTCAGAAGTGCAGCCCCATGGAAACGTTGCAGGATTCCAGACTCAGTGGCGGCCTCTTGTTTTTAGAGCAAAACAGCAGAGGAGCTAATGCCACGTGCTTTCGGAAAGTCGGGACTCTCAGCTTTCTAACAGCACGGAGAGAGCTGGGCTAATCCCCACGATGTCAGAGATATGGAGCCTCAATTGCCCCCAGCCCTGGCACCTTGCAAGCTCTTCAAACACCAGTGGCCCCAGGGAATAAGCTGAAAAGCAATCAGAACAACGCGAGGTGTGTGTGGGGGGTCCAGTAGTTTGACAGCCTGTGGGGCTACCCATAAATGCCACATGTGCCGGAAAGCTGAAAATCCCAACTTTCCATCAGGGCAGGTTTTGCAGTCTCAGTTTGAAGACTTGAGGTAATCCTGCACCTTAAACAGCAACGGCTGCAAGCTCTAGCAGCTTGAGGCTGCTAACCCAATGCTAGCGCTCCAGAGCAGGGAAGTCGGCCAGAAAGGAGTCAGGCTGATGGGATTAGTAAATCCAGCAGAGCTACAAATGCCTGACTTGAGGGTACAAATCATTCAGGAGATACCAGGCTTTAAACCCCTGCTGGTCCCTCAATCTCACTGCACTGGGCATGGCCATGCTGGGCTGGTGTGACAGTCGCTCCCCCATCCCCACAGATCTCGGCGCTGCTGTCAGAATCGGCAGGGAAGCACCGTCACATGGAGAAGGCCGATTCCACTGACAGCCTCTACTCCCTGCATATCTCCAAAATCATTCAGGAGATACCAGGCTTTAAACCCCTGCTGGTCCCTCAATCTCACTGCACTGGGCATGGCCATGCTGGGCTGGTGTGACAGTCGCTCCCCCATCCCCACAGATCTCGGCGCTGCTGTCAGAATCGGCAGGGAAGCACCGTCACATGGAGAAGGCCGATTCCACTGACAGCCTCTACTCCCTGCATATCTCCAACGTGGCGCCCCCTCCCGCCTTCATGGACAGTGCCTCTGAGGCCCACACCACCACCCCCAGCCAGTCTGACTCGGCCACAGAGGCCAACAAGCCCGGCTGCAGCTCTGAGTCGGACACAGGTCACAGGGAGAGGGCCGATTCCACTGACAGCCTCTACTCCCTGCATATCTCCAACCTGGCGCCCCCTCCCGCCTTCATGGACAGTGCCTCTGAGGCCCACACCACCACCCCCAGCCAGTCTGACTCGGCCACAGAGGCCAACAAGCCCGGCTGCAGCTCTGAGTCGGACACAGCCATGCCCAACGGAGACAGGACTCAGGCACCCAACTACCGCAGTCTCCCGCCTCCGGGGCAGCTGGAGAGCCATAGGAGAACCACGGCCTTCATGCCATGGAAGCAGCAGTGCTCTGGGGAGCTGCTGGAGCATGTCAACTCGACAGAGAGTGAGTGCAGCACAGAGGAAGGGGCCCAGGTCCACGCCCTCCCTATGCTGGGCTTCCTCTACCTGAGGCAGGAGGCGCTGGTGGCTCCCTCAGTTCCCACCCTGCTGTCCACTGAGGCCCTGCGCCCTCCATCCCCACAGGATGTGCTGCTCGGTGGACAGCTGGAGTTAGTGCCAGTGCCGGAGCTCAGCAGCACTGACAGCTCTGATGGGGAAGAGGCTTGTAGCCAGGGCATGGGGGAGAAGGAGCCAGGAGTGACTCTGGATTACCAGTCAGCCCAGAAGATCCTGGACAGCCTGCTGAGGCAACACCACTGCCTGGAGACGGAGCCAGCGAAGGCGAGTGGAGGGGGCTATCAGGACAGAAGCGAGACAGGCCAGGCCAAGGAGCACCAGCGCCAGATCCGCTACTACTGGGACTTCAAGAGCCCAGGCGAGGAGCAGCCCCCACGGCATCCGGCCCAGCATGGAGGGGGCACCCTGCCCCGGGCCAAGGGCAAGAAAGTGTTGCCAAGGGAGCAGATATGTGGGGATGGGGTGATGGACTCCACATTTCTGTAAGAAGGTGGAGGGGGCTGCCCATGGGCAGATGAGACCCCCACTCCACAGCCACGTCATTGACCCCAGCCATTTCTGTCTACCCTTCACCATAGCACAGAGCTCGGGGGATAAGGGTCACCTCACTGAGCATAGGGAACTGTATCTGGGTTTGCTACAGACCACCTGGGGGGGCAGATGGAGGCAGAGAGGAGAGTGGGGGGACTCGCTGACCCAGAGAGATCTGTGGGGAGAGGACAGGCAGGCCAGAGAAATGAACACAGATAGAGCCCCAGAGGGATGGGATGGGGGAAGGACAGACGTAGCCAGAGCTGGTGGGGACAGGCAAACTCAGACAGAAAGGGGGGGGACACAGAGGAAAGTAGGGGGTATCCCACAGCCCCATGTGGGGCCAGAGCATCAATCCAGGGCTGACCCTGGATCCATCCTGCTGCTCTCCTACTGGCCCCACCTGTATATACTTTGCTGACTTTGACCTGTCCCACCCCTACCTCCCCTGTACACAAGCACTGGGACCAAGCCACCTGCATGAACCGACCGACCCCCTTTCAATTAACATTTCTGAGACCAACGTTAAAGGAATAAACGCCTTAGGCCAATGGGTGTTTAATTTCAGCTGCGGAGCTGGGCTGGTACATGGGGAAGAGTCACCTGCGGTTGAGCTGAAGCATCACCAGGGTGGGTCTTGAGGCTGTTTATAGAGAGATTCCCTCAACAGCTCCTGAGATGCAGGTTCTGTCTCTAGTTCTGGGAGGGGCGTGAGGTCTAGTGGTTAGAGTGAGAGCCTGGCGCAGGACTCCCAGGTTCCTTTTCCCCTCTGAAAGTGGAGGTCTTTCTGGCTGCCAGGCTGTCTGCTCTAACCTTCAAATGTCTCCCTTCCTGGAGTCTAACCCCCACTCCCTGCTCCACCCTACTTAGCCCACCCCCCACAGCCCAGGAGTCCTGACTCAGTGCATGCCCACAAGACCCCACACCCTTCTGAGAGCTGTGTATAGAATCCAGACGTCCTGTCTCCTCTTGGGACGCTCACACCCCACCAGTGCCCATCCTAGGGGGTGGGGAATGGAACCACCAAGGTCCCTCCCATCTGTTTCCTCATTGAGCTCAGATGGCAGCTGTTTTATGGGCCTGTCCAAAGGGCACCATTAGGTGCCTTCAATTGGGGGCTATTGTAGGGGAAGGGAGATAAGGCATCTGGGAGGTAATGAGTAACCCCATAGGCCCAGGTGACAAGGACGAGAGGTACAGGCTGATCCAGAGGGCACAGGGACATATCTGCCACTATAAAGGGCTCACCACACTCACCTCCCCAACAGCAAGAGGCTGGCACCCATGGCAGGCTGTGGGATGAGCTGCCTAAAGATCCTGGGGGCTGTGTTTGGGGGGGGCCTGCTGCTAACAATTGGAATTCTGTTGGGCCACTTTGCCATCCCCAAAGGGGAGACTGGCCAAGGAGCACCCAACTGGGTGAAGACCGTGGGCCGGGATCTGGATGAATCCCTGCTGCAGAGCTTTATGGATCAGGTGGAGAGCGGGAAGATCCGGGAGAATCTGAAGTAAGGAGGGGAGGAGAGATGGAAAAGCCCCATTGAATTCGCCCACATTCAGGTGATCCAGGAGCGCTGGGCTCTTCAGGGCAGGATCACCCCCTACCCTCCCTCTCTAGCCCTATCCTCTGGGGGACAGGATTCTTCCATAGAGTCTATTCTCCCATTGGGCCAGCTAGCCTCCTCTCCGCCTATGGCCAGGCTGGAATCAGTGCCCCATAGAGGAAGATGCCCTGTATGATCTAACTTCTAGCCCCCATTCTGGGAGAGGAGTGGGGTTTAGTGGTTGCAGCAAGGGGGGAGCAGGCAGCAAGGAGCCAGGACTCCTTGGTTCTGTCCCCCACCAGTACCTGCTGAGCTGCTGTCTTGGGGCAGCTGGGATCTTAGGCAGTCCACTGTGCCCTCTCCAGGGCCCTGGCCGCCCGGCCCCACATGGCCACAACTGAGGGGGACGAGGAGCTCGTGAAGCTGATGCTCAGCCGCTGGCAGGACCCACAGACTGGTCTGGACAGCGCCAGCGAGGATGTATACGGCGCATTCCTGTCCTTCCCTGACCCACAGAAACCCAACAGCGTGACCGTGGGTGTGTGGGGGCACAGTGGCAGGACTGGGGTCCAGGAGGGGGGGCTGGAGGGATGGGGTTTGCAAGGAGGGCAGGGGAAGTGGGTGCAAGGGTGAGGGGGACATTAGGGAAGCTGGGCACAGAGGCTTGTGGGGTGCTGGATAGGCCCTAAGGCCGTGGTCCCCAACACGGTGCCCGTGGGGGCATTTGCATGCACCCGCCAGGTGCTTGGGGATGGGCCT